CAGTATCACTACGGAAGTAGATTGCCCCATCTTCCTTCCAAGGAGTGGCTGGTGGGTTTGAACCGCCAGCCTTCTGGTTAGCAATCAAGTGCCTTACACACTAAGCTACCAGAGCTCCCATGCAATAGCTTAGGCAGTGATAAAAGCTACAGAGGAAATCTATAGCAGGGAAGAGTGGTCAGGGAAGCTCTCATTTAAAAAAATTACTTTCTAATGCCTGAGGCATCTCACTGTTAACCAGAAGTTTGCTAGTTCAAACCCACCAGCCACCCCGCAGTAGCAAGAATGGGCAATCTACTTCTGCAAAGATTTATTGCCTTGGAAACCCAGTGGGGATTGCTGTGAATCACAACCTATTTGAGTTTGGGTGGTTTTTTGTTTGTTTGTTTGTTTTCAAGGAAAGACTTAGAAAGGTGAGGGAACAAGGTGTGTATGGCTTTGGGAGATTTTATGTAAGGTGTATGGCTTAAAGATTTTCTTGTCTTACTCTGAAGTGATGGGTAGGTGGCATGCTTACTGATAAGGATTAGATGGGTTGAACTTGGTTATGTCACACACCCCTCCCTTGGGAAGTGTATGAATGGTCCTCCAACATGCATCATCAGAGAGAATATGCTATGATCATTTCTTTTTTGCATTATCTAAGATTTCTAGTTTCAGTTTCCTTAAAGTGGAGTAATAATTTAGTAGATACTTGTAAAGAAATTTGAGTGTGGAATGTTTCTTGAAGTTTTAAAAACTCATCTCCTCCCCTTCCCCTTTTAAAAGTCTATGTCACTAAATCATCCACACTAGGTAAAAATGGACTAAAGGTTTGAGAACAAGTTGTGAATGTCAGTGGTAGAGGTAATATTTCACCCTTGAGAGTTTCTGTTGATGTGCTTTATTAATATTTTCTTAAGAATTCAGTTATTTTAAAAAGAAGATAACCTCATTTGACAATAATGCTAGCATGTGTTTTGTAGAGACAGCCATCTATCTTATAAATACTTTCAGAGCACGTGTGGCACAGGCTCTGCAGTGTCCGATGCAAAGGCTATTGGAATGTGAGCTTCGTGCAGTGTGCATTTTGATCAGTGCATTTGGAATGTGAGCAAGGCATTAGAAGTTGTGTACGTGTTAAGATGGCAAAAGTATTTAAAGCTGAGGTGAGACATAATCCTAGGATTTTCCCTAAAATAATATTGGTTTGACCTCTTGACATTTTACCTAGAAATGCTTAAAGGCCAGAACTTTGCAGTTTTCAATGACACCAGTCAAACTTTGTTTATATTTTAAGAACTGTGCTTTCTTTTAAGAGATTACAAATCTCTAAAAAGTGCTTCTGAAGAATCTTTCTGGATGGTCAGTATTTTAAGTCAGCATCTTTAAAAATAGTTTTAAGTATTTTAGAGGATAGTTAAAATTTGGAAAACATTGGATGGATCTGACCTTTAAGAAAACCTGTGTTATTTATCTATTCATCATGATACAGCTACTTTGATAAATCTGATGTTTTGTCTAAATGGAATGGATGAAAAGTTGTAGTTAATTCTGAGGGGAATATTTCTTTTCTACTTGACACAGGTTTCTTTAGGTGGTGTTGATCTCACGGTCCGGGTACTCACGACAGGATATTGGCCCACTCAGTCAGCCACACCAAAGTGCAACATCCCACCAGCACCAAGACATGCTTTTGAGATATTCAGAAGGTAAACCTAAATCAGACTTTGTATTTCTGAATTTAAATTATTGTCCCAAATTGAAACAACTTTGAATGTTAGTAAAGTGCCCTGAGTGGGGATGAATATACTCCTCTTTTTTTTTTTTTTTTTTTAAAACCTCATATTCAAATGGAAAGTCTGTACTTTTAATATGTAAGAATGAGTTAACGTAAAATTTTCTCTAGAGAAATATTTTGTTGATAGCCTTTTTTCAGTATAAATGCTTAGTGAGGAGTACATTTTATACTGTTGATATCTGTCACTGCTGAGGACAAATCATTGATTGGGTACTTTGTAAAGGTGGTGGTCTTATGAGTAGCAAGCCAGGGACCGAGTGTACCAATAGAAATTATATTGTATGCTCCCTAAACACTTTCTTAAATTTATGTTTGTTAAGACTTATTATCTTGTTTGTAATTTCAAATATGTAAAGTGTATGAATCTCTAAAATCTGGTTTGATTTGCTAAAGGTTTTACTTAGCCAAACACAGTGGTCGACAGCTCACACTCCAGCATCATATGGGTTCTGCAGATCTCAATGCTACCTTTTATGGGCCAGTTAAAAAGGTAAATATTGAGTTTGAACTCATTTATGTTAAGTAACTTAAAATTAGCCTGTAGTACTGATTTTTTACTAATGTTGCCCTGGGTGACCTTGCTAACAAATTCTATGTATATATACATGAGTTATTTTTCTTATTTTTCCTACTTATTTCAAATATTAAAAGGGGGAAAACCTTGGCTTTGATTTATTTACTTCCATTTCCTCACTTGCTAACTTCATGAAAATCATACCAGTAATCCTTATTAAGGTATAAATAATATTAGGATAAGTAAACTATTTATTTATTTATAAGATTACACTTGAGATAATATTGCATAAAGTAGTAAAATGAAAAACTGAACACATCTGTTAATTACTTCTCCACAACATACAAAGCCCTCAGCCCCTTTTCATCATTCTCAATTTCTTATAATCCCTATTTCCAATAAACAAAACCATCAAAATTAACACTTGGACTTATGACATAAATTACTAAAGTCCTTATTTAAAAATTGATTATATATCAGTGAATTGCCTTCTTCTTCTTCTTCTTTTTTTTTTTTTTTTAAGTAATTGCTTTTTTGTGTCTGATTTAAGGTCAATTTCAGATTGATTTTTTTGTATGCTATAATTTATTTTCATTACTTGATATGAATCAAATCAGGATCGGTTGCTTTAAAATAGATAAATAATAAATGCTTAGAAGAGCATCAAAGAAAATTAGCTGTTTTCATTTAGGCAGCAAGTGACAGTTTTATCAAAATTTTAATTAGAATCTTAACTGTTTTAATATTTAATTAAAATGAAAAATATTCCTCACAATTCATTAGTTAAATAATATTTAACACTATTAAGTGGGAAGGTCAAGGAGAGTAAAGAATTTGGCTTTAATTGTTTGTTTAAAACAGAGGTTGTATCTAAAAATAAACATGTTACTTTTTGAAGATTTATTAAACAAACCAGTAGATTTTTAAACATATGTCAGTTTAAAAGCTTCAGGTAGTATCTACTTTGTACCTCTTAAATCATGGAGCAGGAATAGGCTTTGAGAATGGCAGGTGATATCCCGACACAGCCCCCCCCCCCAATGCTATTTTTTGATCTCTTATTGTGATCAGAATACACAAAGAGAAACCTAACCCTACTACTTTTAGTAGTGGTATGTCAGTGATGTCTCATAAGTCTATTATTATTATCCCATTGTATACTGTTTAAATCGTTTTAGCTTTAAATACAGGGAAATTTTGATAAATTACATAATCGGATTCATTAAAATGTTCACAGTGAGGGGGACATTCTAAATAATGAAACAGTAAGCAACATGATAAATGGAGAAAATACTGAAGTTGTCAAGGATTTCATTTTACTTGGACCCACAGTCAACACCCATGGAGGCAGCAGTCATAGTGGACTATGGACAAATCTGTTGCAAAAAAACTCCTTAAAGTGTTGAAAAAGCAAAGATGTCACTTTGAGGACTAAGGTGCACTTGATGCAGGCCATAGTATTTTCAGTCATCTCATGTGCATGCAAAAGCTAGCCACTGAATAAGGAAGAGTGAAGAAAAATTGATGCATTTGATTGATGGTGTTGACAGAGAATATTAAATATACCTTGGAGAGCCAGAAGAACAAACAAATCTGTCTTGGAAAAAGTACAGCCACAGTGCTCTTTAGAAGCAAGGGTGGTGAGACTCTGTCTCACATAATTCTCTCACGTACTTTGGGTGTGTTACCGGGGGGACAAGCCCTTGGAGAAGGACATTGTGCTTAGTCAAGTGGAAGGTCAGCAAAATGGAGAAAAACCTTCAATGAGATGGATTGACACAGTGGCTACGACAGTTGTTTCAGACATAGCAATGATTGTGAGAATGGCACAAGACTGGGTGGTATTTTGTTCTGTTGTACACAGGGTCACTATAAGTAGGAACTAACTCAATAGCACCTAATTAAAGCAACAAAGAAAAAATAAATAACTTTAATTTAAAACAAAACATGTAGATATATATGCACCAGTATCTTATATTAATTTGCTGAATAATTTTTAAAAGTTTAAAATTATGTACTTCTGTTAAAGTATAGCAGGGATCGTGGAGCTGGCGCAGGATTGGGCATTCATCCATTTCAGGAAATGGCATATGATGTAGAACCAATGGCACTGAAGGAGGAAGTCAAAGCTGCAACGAAAGAATTGGCGAAGAACAAAGCTCCGGGAATTGACGGAATACCCATTGAGATATTTCAACAAACAGATGCCCCACTGGAGGCACTCACTCAGTTATGCCAAGAGATTTGGAAGACAGCTACCTGGCCAACTGACTGGAAAAGATCCATATTTGTACCCATTCCAAAGAAAGGT